TTGACCAGATTTGTCGATCTGGATGACTAGATATTTCAAATCTGAAATATACGAAATAGGACTCTCATTCCCTATGCCCTGTCTGCCCTAGGTTAGTACGTGGCACCGCTGGCAACATCCTTCACAGTACAGCTTGACCCCAAACCTTGGGGGCATCCTTAACAGCTCCCCCTGCTCTCCTCCAATTAATCCATCAGCAAGTCTGCTTTTCTGGCAGCAATGGGGAGGGGACCAAATCCAAGGTCTTGCACACACTACATAACTGCTCTGCCACTAGTGAGCTGTATCTCCACCTCTATCAGCAACTCTTGATTTTCCCATCTTCAAACCACATGAGGCTTCCCACATTCCCTCCACCTCCAGTCTCCTCTTGTTTTTACCTAGACCACAGTAACAATGTCCTATATAGTTTGCCTGCACCCCTTCTTGCCCATCTACTGCCTATTCTCAGCAGAACATCCAGGTGATTTTTTAGAATACAAGATAAATAATGACATTTTTCTGCTTGAAACCCTTTAGCAGCTTTTTCCCAGATTAAAATTCAAACTCCTCCCCATGCTGGCGAGGCTTCAATGCTCGTTCCACTTTCTGAGTTTGCTCCAGAACAGCTTTGGGGCTTTCGCTCCATCACGCTAAGATCCTTGCTTCGGGACCTCTACTTGTTCTCTCCATATGGAATGTTCTTCCTTTGGATTCTCACACACTGAGATCTTTCACAATTCTCAGGCCTCAGATGTTCCCTCCCCTGGGAGATCACGCCAGACAACGCCATCTGAAACAGTGCCTCCTCCTTCACCTTCTGCTCCAGTCTCCTAAAGGACTCTTCATGGCACTCGCTGGGAACTGGAATTAAATTAGCTATTCATCTGCTTATTGTCTACCCTCTCTCCTGCCATGAGCGCCACGAGAGCTGATAGCAATACCCAACACAGTAAAGATGCTGAACTAATATTACTTTCAAGGTAAAATTTTTTATATTTAACTACATATACAACTACTACATTGTAAATAAGTTATGGCTCTGGAGACATAGAAGAGAATAGTGTGCCAGGCATAGTGGCACACATTTATAACCCTAGCGCTTGGAAGACAGGCAGGAAGATCACTGCAAGTTCAGGCCAGCCTGGGATTCACAGTGAGTTCAAAGCCAGCCTGAACTACATAGTGATAGTGAAACCCTGTGTCAAATAAACAACATGGTCTGGGGATGTGCCTCTGTCACAGAATATTTGCCTAACATAAACGAGGTCCTGGGTTCAATCCCCAGTACAATTAAAAAAAAATTTGTTTTAGTAATTGTGATTGGAGGAAAGCTGTCAGTACTGAAGCTGGAACCAAGGGCTTTAGCACCACAAAAAAAAAAGGAGTATTTTGTACCTCACACTGAGCTATATTCTCAGTCCTTTCTAATTTTTTTACTTTGAGATAGGATGTCTCAAAGTTGCTCAGGTTGGGCTCAAACTTGAGATCCTCCTGCCTCAGCCTTCCCAACTGTTAGGCTCACCGCAGTCAGCTTTTTAAATTTACATCATCTTAATCTTTTGTTGCTGCTTTAATAAAAACAATGGCCAGACATGGTGGTACACACCTATAATCCCAACACTCAAGAGGCTGAGGCATAGAGGATGCCTTTAGTTCATTGTCAGCCTGGTCTACATGGTAAGCTCAAGGCCAACCTAAAGTAAATACACAGTGAGACCCTGTGTCAAAAAAAATAAACCAAATTGAATATGGTGGTATATGCCTGTAATTCCAGCACATGGGAGGCTGAGGCAGGAGGATCATCATGAGTTCGAGACCTGTCAGGCTACACAGTGAGTTAAGCCCAGTCTGCACTATAAAGCAAGACCATGTCTCAAAAAACAAAAAACCTACACCAAAAAAACTGGTACCTAGCCTGGCCAATTTAGCAATGTCGTGACTCTGTCTCAAAATGTAACACAGGGCCTGGGATTTAGCTTAGCAGCATAGGCACCTGCCTGGTAAGCACAAAGTTTTAAGTTCAATTCCCGGTACCAAAAAAAAAAAAAAGAAAAGAAAAGAAAGAAAATAACAAAAGGGCAGAGGATGCTACTCAGTGAAAAGGCCCTGGGTTCAATCCCCAAAATCACAAGACAGGAAAAAGGCTTCTGTATCCTAAAGGAAAGATGAATGACAATCTGTCAATCCCAAGGAGTTGCTTCCCCACACTGAGCTATGAGCAGAAGCATATCATCTTCTGGTGCCCAGGAGCTGCTGGTCTATTAACCAGGCATCAGTGCTGTCCTCCTAGACATGGTATCAGCAACAGACAGAGCCACTCTGTGACCACTCCATGATGTTACCTGGCCAGAAAGAAAACATGAACATTTTCCAAACCATAAAACACCAAACATCCCCTTGCCCATCTAATGAAGGGAAACTACTGCTTCTTTTCCAATTGCAGCTTTGGCCCCACTTCAGTCTGCTCTCCCAATAAGATTTACAAAAATGGTGAATCACAGAATTATCAATATACGGACAGCATCTAATCCAGAGCAAAGCCTTAATTCCCTCAAAACTTTCCAAAATCCCGAGCACAAGCCCAGATGCTGTCACACATGATTCTAACAACGCCTCCCTGAGATGCCCCGCAGCTCCTGATGGGGGTGCGTTCTCCCTTGCTGAAATAATTCCCAGCCCAACTCGTTTGACTACTGTTATGTTCCTGCTTGACTCTGTCTGGAAGGCAGTGATGGCAGTCATGACATCAGGGCCATCACAGGATCACAGGCCATCATGGCCCATCACAGGCCACCATATATGCAGAAGCCATGGAAGCCTGCTGGAAAACTGACCCCAGGATATAATTTCAGTGCTGGCTTGCTGAACACATTCCCTGATACTAGCCTGATTTTCTTGGCATCTGCCTCTTTTTCCTAAAGGCTGGATGAGGAGGGAAGAAGGCCTGGTTAATGTTCCAGTGAATAATGTCCCAGTGAATAATGTCACAGCTAATGGAGAATACCCTGCACAGGCTTCCCTTCCCTGCTGCTTCTGAAAGCCACCCTGAGCACAAGTTTTAGAGCAGCGCTGGAGGACTGAATCATGGGCAGGGCCTGAGGCAACACCACTCAAGTACTTTAAGCCACATGTTCAAGCCCAATAAATTAGCCCAGGCTTAAAGAAGTCAAGCTGTACACATGTAAGAATTTTAATAAGCTTGGAAAATGCTACCTAGAGCTTATACACAAGCTTACTGTACCAATGGGATTCCCTGCCACCGCCACAGAGTGCTAAGCCCCTGACAAGAGCTGTCGAGCACGTGGGGCAGCAGGACAAGGAGCCTGCAAGGTGCAGGTTTCCTCAGGAGTAGGGACTCAGCAGATGGCTGGCAGCCAGATGGATGGAGAACAGAATGGGGCAGGCAGCTCAGTGGAGCCAATGGCATTTACTAGGAAAACACGCAGAGGGTTTCTTTGGTGGCAATCTGGTCCTCACACACCCTAGAAACCAGCAAACACTGTAATCAATGTCTGCATTTATCAAATGTCTGTCTGGATCCACAACTGTGTTATGTACAATAGAGACGTCTTTAAGCAAACATGGTTTCTGACTCTAGATGCTGACACCTAACATAAATAAAAACAGTAAATCTGTCTGAAGGATTACTAAACTAACTGAACAAACACCAACTAATCAAAAGCATTTATCTAATATAATGCAAGCGAGTAATCACTGCAGGGTAAGTCATGGGAGATGACTCTCTAAACAGGGTGGGACTAAATGGAAGAGCTATCCTGTTAAGGCTAAGGCTCCCCGGGAGGGGTCAGGTTTTAAGAAAAGCTTCAAGAGCTGGCTACTGGGCTTGGGGAAAATTAGCTGATTAGGGAAGAGGAAGATGGGAGCAGCTTGATGATGATTTAAGGGCAGAAATACAACTACAAAAAGAAAGAAAATTCATAAACTTCCCAGGAAAAGGAGAAGAAATCATCCAACAGGTATAAATTTCTGAGCTTTTTTTTTATTCATGACCTCTTCTAATAAACACAAATTTTTATTCACGCCCCCTTCTCATGTCCTCTTTTATTTATTTATTTATTTTTTTTTTTTTTTTTTGGTACCAGGAATCAAACTGAGGACCTCATGCTAGCCAGGCAGACACTTGCTGCTGACCTATATGACTGGTCCCTTAATGTAATTTAAAAGTCCAACAGTAACTATCATAACCAGCATCAAATCAGAATTACAGTAGTTTCAGAATCCTACTTTTCAAATAACACAAATCATCCCTTTTCCCAGTGCTGAGAAGCGCTCAGGTTGGCTATAGCAATTATCAACATGGAAGACCCTTTTTTTTTTGAGACAGGATCTCCAAATCATCCCTTTTCCCAGTGCTGAGAAGCGCTCAGGTTGGCTATAGCAATTATCAACATGGAAGACCCTTTTTTTTTGAGACAGGATCTCCTGATGTAGTTCAGGCTGCCCTCAAACTCACAGTGATCCTTCTGCCTCAGCCTCCTGGGTGCTAGGATGATAGGTATGTGACACTACAGCTAGTGTTCTCACTAAATTCTTAAGGGGAAGACCCTAGGTCCACATAGGACCAGACAACCAACAGGATCAGAAAGTTAAAGGTGGCAAAAATCAATCACGTGCTATGGTTTGTGTTCGAATGCCCCCCTCAAGCCTCATGCAATCATAAACTGAATTTAGTGATTGTGATTGATCTCTTGTCTAGCACTGGCATTGGCCATGTGAGTGCTGTAGCTGCCCAGGGGTGGAACCAGCATACAGTGTAAGGGTGGGAAGAAGGCATGTCTTTCCTCTTTATTCTGTTCACTCTCGCTGTTTTGGTGGCCATGAAGGACTATCCCGCCATGCCATCCTGCCTTGGAGCCAGCTAAGTATGGACTGAAACCCCCAAAACTGTAAGAAATAAACCTTCCCTTGCTTCACTTTGGGCATCAGGTATTTTGTCTCAACAACAAGAGAAAAGTAACTAAGATACCATGGTACTTACAAGAATTTATAATAATTACCTGATTAAAATTTTTGAAGGAAAATTCTTTGTAGATGGCATTTCTCTCACTTAATTCTGACCATCCTGCATTTTTAAGGTCAAGTAGAATCTGGTTCCTCTCCTCTGGAGTCAACAGCTGTGAATCTGAAGGCTGTGAAAAGAACACATTTAGTCCCTGAAAACAAAGGTTAACTTAAACTCTAAATAAACTTGCAAAAATAAATTTATAGTTAAGAAATGCAAAAAAAAGTCTCAAGCCAACAAATTCTAATCATTTCCTTGTTCTTAAAATACATACAAAACTGTTAGCCTATCTAAAGCAGCTGCCGCCATGATGTGCCATCTCCGTACCCCGTGCTGCCGCCTCACCCCAACATCAGAGTTCAGCAATTTGACAACTATAAATGTGCTTGACCATTATTCTGGACTCCTTAGATAATTCACAGAATTCCAGGACTTTGGAAACAGAGGTCTGAACACCCACCCCCAGAAGCTCTGACGACCACCAATGAGCAAGTTCCTATAAAAATGGAAACACACACAGGTTCTATAAAGACAGGGATGCTGGTGAGTCAGTTTTCTAGCTTTTCTGCCTCATAATTTAGGGTTCTGAACTCCTACTGCTTTTTGGATATTTTCTTATCACCTTGGTAGTCTTCACTGCCCTATTCACGTGAGTTTTAAATATTTGGGATTACTATCCCTTTTCGCTATGACAAAAACCAATATCCAGAGGGGAAAATACAAATGCACATTTATTTAGGGTTTTGTATAACTTCTAGGGATCCGCAGACCATCTACTATAGGTAAAAAGCCTTCGCCTTCTAAGTTTATGAAATCTCTTCTCAGAGGACCAGTAAGACAAACTCCCATCTCAGTTTGGCCAGAGGACTATTAAGTCCACAGCACTTGGGCACACAGTCCACGGTGTTGCCACTGCTGATGGTAACATTCAAAAGTCAAGACTCTTTTGGTTAGCAGATCCCACTTCCCGTGTCATTTCTTTTATAAATTAAAAACTCTGTCCATAGTGAGTAGCTGATTACGCAGTTGGTTATGAAGAAGTCCCCAGAGGCTGTGGGACGTGCTCATCCATAGTTCCACGAAGACCAAGGGGCTCATCACAGAGGACAGCGTCTAGGACTGAAATGGTACCACTTCATCCACATAACGCCAGAGGCCCCGGAGGGCAAACCCTCAGCAGAACCCTAGATGGGGCCATGATTCTGTTCCCCTACAGAGCTGAGAGAAAAGCACAGGTTTTGCAAAGAGTACTGGAGTCTTGATTCAAGGACTAGTTTCCACTCTGCTGGAAGATGCTGATTCTCGGCCTTTTTGAATCTCAACACCCTGGTGTCAGTAGGAGGAATATTACAGTATCTACCTGCCAATATTTTTTGAAAAGCTTAAAGCGATTTGAAAGCGAAGGCATCCGGCACAGGTCCTGGAGTGTGGCAGCCATCGCAGCCGTCTATGTACTAATTCCTTGCCTCTCCCTCCCCATGACTGTTCCCCACCTTCAGCACTTGTGCAGAAGTTGCCTGGAGATACGCCAGGTGACAGCAGGCATCCTACTGTGTATTCTTTTTCTTCTGTTTTTTTTTCTCTTTCTTTAGCTACAGAACAGTGCTTCTCTTCCTCCACCATCGAACTAGTTTAATTTTCTTCCATTAAAGAAATTTTGAATGGGTTCTAACAAATCAACTAAAGAAACGAAACGGTGAGTCAGTCTAACGCAGTATTTTTCCACTAGATGGTGCTATGCGTTAAACTTTCCTTCAAGTTAGCTGACTCCAAAATACTTTCTGCAGCAGGAAATCAACTGAACACTTTTCTTTTTGGAAAGAAAAAAATCAAATGTGTCGCCAGAAATTAATTTATTAGTAATTCCTCCACTGAGGCAAGGGAATCGCCCCGAGTTCGAGACCAGCCTGGGCTACACAAAGTTCAAGGCCAGCCTGAACCACACAGCAAGACAGTGTCTCAAATAACCAAAAAGGAGTAATTCCATCACAAACTCTGCAGTTTGTGAAAACAAATCAGTTAACTGAGCATGAGGGAAAGTCGCTGACAGCGAGCCGCCGCAGACACTCACGGAGTGTGGTCGCCGGTGGTCACTAACACACGCGTGTCCTCAAGCGTCCCTTTCACAACTGATTTTCCTATTTAAAGGAAAAACGCCCTCGCCCTCTGCTCGTGTTTCCGGTTAGCACACTGGCAGGCCAGGCGGGAGGTTCACGCCAGGGGAGAAGTGGGACAGCCGCGGCCCCCAGCCTCCGCCGCGCAGGCCCCGCGCGCTGGGCACTCACCTGGGCCGCCAGGCTCCGGCTCCCGCCCCGCAGCGCCGCCAGCAAGCGCACCCGCGCCCCGCGCGCCCCCAGGGCCGCCGCCATGGCCGCCTGCCCGCCTTCCGCACCCGCCCCGCCCGGCTCCCGCCGCCCCGCAGCCTCTCCGCTGAGCCAGCTCGGAGCCGGGGGCGCGAGGGTCACGCCCAGCCGCGGGCGCAGGCCCGGCCCCCGCGCTCAGCCAGCCCCGCCGCGCCGAAGGCCCGGGAGCCGCGCTCTGCGGCCAGCGGGTGCGCGCCGCGGCCTCAGCCTGGGGCGCCCTTTGGGCGGGGCCGCGGGTCCCCGGCGAGGGCGAGGGGAGAGGAGCGGGGCCTGGGGGTCGCCGCGTCTGTGGTTAGTGCAGCAGCGGGGCGGGGTGCACACGAGTCGCTTCCGGGCTCCTAAGGCAGCCCGGCGTCCAGTCTGTTAGCTCAGACACAACTGTGTTTGCCTGGATAGAATAGTCTGAAAAACCTGCCTTGCAGAGCGTGCTCTGTAAACGGAGCCGCATCGTTAGCCTCGCATAGAGGCAGCCCTGGGGACACAGGTGAGACCTGATCTAGACAAATCCTTTCTTATATACTGGGAGGTATTCTTATACATCGGATATGTGTAGTTATTAATTTAATTGTCATATTCTTTGTCTTTTTCTGAGATCTAGTTGACAACCCATAAAGGGTTTTTTTTGTTTGTTTTGTTTTTGTTTTTTGGTCTTTTTCGTTTTTATCAGTACCAGGGATCAAACAGGACTGCCTGCTTGCAAGGCAGGCGCTTATGCCGCTGAGCTAAATCCCCAGCCCCAAAATTCACCATTTAAAACACAGTATTTTTTTGTATATTGGCTTGTATCTCATTATTACTCATTAATGACATAAACAGTTTTGCAGAGGATGTATCTACTTTTCTTTTTTATCGGTACCAGGGATTGAACTCACGACCACAGGCTTGCAAGGCAGTTTATGCCACTGAGCTAAATCCCCAGCCCCCAGAGGATGTATCTAAAGATGAGGGTTATTTTAGAGACAGGGTCTTGCTGTGTAGTTCAGGTAACTCATTATGTAACCAAGGTCGCCTCGAACTCACAGCGCTCCTCCCCAGGTGTTGGGGTTCAGGTGTACACAATGCCCAGCAAGAATTCACTCAAGACTGATTTAGCAGTTGTTACTAGTCAGCTGACTTATATGAACTTAGAAAAAATAAAGCTAATTTGTGTCTCACGAAGCAAAAAAACTTAACTGCCGGCTGGAACTACTTTCTTTTTTTTTTGCCCACATGACAGGATTAAAATATCCAAAAGGCAGAATTCAGGGTAATACTCTCTGAGAGCCCTGATCAGATGTGACATCTCAAGGAATGTCTGTAAGACACTGGTTTGTTTTTACTTACGTTAAAGCAGACAGAGGCTAGCAGTGGATTAAGGGTTGTATTTCCAACATTTACATTGGGTATGTAGGATTGTAAAAAATACTCTTGAAATTTGCTCTTTAAAGGGAGAATGGAACCGGGCATGGTGGTGCCTCCCTGTAAATTCAGTCAGCTGAGGCAGGTGGATACTGACAGTCTCAAGCGATCATGGACTACACAGTGAGAACCTCTCTCAAAAAAATCACTCAAGAGAACTGAAAATCAGCTCCTAGGTGTGAGCTAACAAACTGGTGAGTTTTCACCATTCTCAGTATTTTCCTCACTTACCTTCCTTAACACCACCCCATGAGACTGCTAAGTGTAGTCACAGGGCCCAGAGAAGTTGTGTCATCCAGCAAGGACTGTGAATGCCCTCCTAGTTCCCAGATTAACAGAATTTAAACCCTTTAGGAAAGATTTATTTACTAGGTGCATCTTCTGTAGTGGTTTGTGATGGTTTGGCTGGTCTTAGACCATTTCCTTCCCCTTTACTTACCTTTCCCTTAAACCAGTGTTCCCTAACTAATCTCTATAGCTCCTCTCCAAGGAGTGGCTTTGCTCCAAATTCCCTCTAGGGGAAATCCATGTAGCTGGTTTTACCTAAATATAGAAAGTGGCCAGACATGGTGGCACACGTCTGTTAATCCCAGCACTTGGGAGGCTGAGGCAGGAAGATCTGTGCAAGTTGGAGGCCAGCCTGGGCTACATAGTGAGTTCAAGGCCAGCCTGAACTACATAGCAAGACCATGTCTCAAAAACAAACAAAACAAAAAAAAAAATAAGATAAATGTGAACAGTAAAGCTGGAGTTGTTGCTTATCCTGGGAAACTTCCTTCACAATCCCATTATATATAAAAGGCATGAACACTATCGTTATCTTTGATAGAATAATCTCTACTCTGGGAATCTGTCCTTACAAAAATAAGACTATATACAATAATATCCATCAAAAGAGGAGAAAGACTAAAGGAAAGTTCACTGGGCCATGGCACAGAGGAGGGTAAGGTGCTGTCCTTCATAGAGGATCTAGTTTGGGGCTTAATCCCACCACTGGAATCAGATGGCCAAGAGCAAGTGGCCTCAGTGTACTCTTTCAAATGAAGATATTTAATAGTATCAATCTCATAGGGTTATTGTATTGATAAATGAAACACTGTGAGTGAAGCATTTAAAAGGGTACCTGGCACTCACATAGTAATAACTCAAGCATGAGTTGCCATAAGAGATAGAATAATTAAGACTTTTTTCTTTTCTTTCCTTTTAAAGAGAATAAAATGAAACAAAATAAAACAGAATAAAGCCAATCAAAACAAAACAGTGAGAGTGACACAGGACTTCAGAACAAGGTAATAGGAAATCAACAATGGTTGTCATATCTTATCTTCAAAACAGCTGCCCATACCACCAGACATAATAAAATCAAACAAAAAAGAACAGAATAAAACCAATCAAAACAAAACAATGGAAGTGATACAATACTTCAAAACAATAGGAAATCAACAATGGCTACCATAATATATCTCGTTATCTTCAAAATAGCTGCCCATTTCATCAGATATAATAAAGTCAAAGAAAACAGAATAAACCAAATAAAACAAAACAAATAAAATAATACAGAACATTAAAACAAGATAACAGGGAATTGACAATGGCTACCACCTTCAGAAAGCAACCCTCATGGCTGCTATATTGCAGTTATCCTGTAAATAGATGATGCCAGCTTTAGGCCTGCAAAGTCAATCAAACAATACAGGCATTGAGTCTTGTTTTGTTACTTCAGTGGCTATCATCTCAGCCTGTGTTTCTCTGAATCAGCTGGCTGCTTGGTTCGGCAGGGAGCCTTGGCACTTCTACCCCACCGGCACCCTAGCTGGCTCACAGGAAGTTGTTGGCCTGGCCCAGGACTGCAGCAGGCTCACAGGAAGGGGTTGGCTTCTTGGTTTTCTTCCTGGGTCATGTGGCCACCACTGGCTCATGGGAAGAGGTTGGCCCAGCCCATGACCATCTTGGCTCACAAGGAGTTGGATTTTTCTTGGTTCGGTTCCTGGGTTACATGGCTGCTGCTGGCCAACTTTTTTCTTTTTTCATTTGTACTTCCAGGTATATGTACATGTAGGGCTTCAAATTCCAGTTTCGCCAACTTACTATCTGTAGCCTGGGCAAGTTACTAACCTCCATATCTCAGTCTGCTTGTTTGTAAAATGGACAGCATGGTGGTACATTCTGAGCTGAAGTCCCCTCCTGCTGGTGAATACTCAAGCCCTGCTGTTCTGCATGGTATGTAATGATAACTTTAAAAAGATTTATCTAAGGTTCTGTCTGTAGAATGTTGGGTATTTTATGAAATACACATTTAACTATCTAAAGCACTGGAAACACTAAGTATAAAAGTAATTTATCAGCCAGGTGTAGTGGAACATGTTTCTGGGAGGCTGAGGCAAGGATGGAAGGTTCAAGCCCACTTGAGCAATTTGTGACTGTGAGTCCCTATCTCAAAATTTAAAAACAAAAAATTTTTAAAGGGCCCACGATGTAGCTCAGTGTGAAGGCCCAGGGTTCAATCTGAATACCACAAACAAACCCAGTACTTACTAGGTAATCAACTGTATTGAAGAACAGCTTTTCTTTTGGAAAATATGTACAGCTGGTTGTGGTGGCACACACCTGTAACTGGCTGGGCTGGAGACTGCTATAAGTTCAAAGCCAGCATGGACTACATGGAGAATTCAAGGCCTGCATAGAATATACAGTAAGACCCTGTCTCGCAAAACAAAACAGAACAAAAAAAAAGAGAGAGAAATGTATACAAATTACAAATTGTCTCTACTAAATGTGTCCTAAACTAAACTAGAATCAACTCAAAGGCAGAAGCAGTGTTTGTGTTTTGCATCTCACTAAACCCAGCCTACTGCTCGGAGCATTTTACAGTTCAATTAAGGCATGTCGGTGAGATGATTTATGCTTTAGCGTTACTTTTTCTTAATAACCACCGTACCTACAAACAACTGAAACCACTTTGAATTCTTTCAGTAAAAGCAGAGATAATAAACACCAAGGTATTTGACTTTATTTCCCATCAGGTGGTACATATAGGGTCACTTCTCATTTCTAGTTGTTCTTCCCATAACAGAAATTTCCCTGCTTAGTGATTCTGGAAGAGAAATTCCAAACAAACAGAAAACTAACCTTCACAGACATGCAGAAGGAACCAAGGGCTTTCTAAAACTGTAATCTGAAAGTCCTGTTTCTGCCTTCTATAGAGTAACCAGTGTCATTCTGTTCACTAATTCTGCCAAAATATATGTTTATATTTCAAATTTGATTACTCTTAAAATACAGGGTTATGTTCAAGAAATAAATTTTAGTATTTTTGCATTTGCTTATTATAGTAGTAGTCAAAACCCAGTTTGTAATTTTTTTAACCTATTCAGTGGTTCAGCAAATGCATGATTCCCTTGATGTGACTGAAGTTGCAGGTACTCCACCGGAGAAAACATGGCCCTCAGCACCAACTTCCGAAATGAAACACTGAAATAGCTTCTCTTTCCAGCTTCTCCTTTCTGTCCATCACTATTCTGCATGTTCCTGTTCTTGTCCTGGAATTAGCCACCGGATGCTCTCAGTTCGAATGGTGGCGTACATAATAAAGCTAATTAGAAAGAATAAGGAAAAGACGAGCAGCCAGTCCACACTTTTTATCAGAGTGCTGGGAAGAGGGCCTATTTGATCAGCCTGAGTTACCACCACGTTTTTCTTGGCTTCTATACCTGGAAGAGAAATCAGTTGTTTCAAATCAGAGAGAAAATGCAACCACCCTAGATTTTTCTGAAGTATGATGCATGATATCCAAAATGACATGCAATCCCAACATAAATAGCACCATTAGTGTGTCTGGGTTGGATTTCACCTGCTTGTCAGTGTAATCTGTGACTCAGCTTTCTTCCTACCATCTCAAAGGCTCAGGAATCCATTCAGCTGGGCAAAGCTAAAACTCCAGAATTTCTATGGACTCATCAGAGCTTTCCTAGTCAATGCCTTGAGGAGCTGCCTTTTGTCTGCTTGAGACCAGAGTTCAACAAGTAACCTAGCAAGCTACTCTTAGGCATCTGAAGAAGGTTTCCACAGGTTAATACTAAACTCCAAATATTTCCAAAAGGTTACTGAAAGAATTGTTAGAACTAGCACGCACTGCAAGCAGGTGTGGTGGTGCATCCCTGTAATCTCAAAACTCTGGAGGCTGAGGCAGGAGAACTGCTGAGAATCCAAGGCTGTCCTGGGCTACATAAGTGAATTCAAGGCCACGCTGAAATATATATCTAGACTCTGTCTCAAAACTCATTAAATAAGTAATAAAGAACTAGCCACTAGGGGGCTGGGGATTTAGCTCAGCAGCATAAGCGCCTACCTTGCAAGCAGGAAGTCGTGAGTTCGATCCCTGGTACCGATAAAAAGGAAACAGTCCAAAAAAAAAAAGAACTAGCCACTGGGGGCTGGGGATTTAGCTCAGTGGCATAAGCTCCTGCCTTGCAAGCCTGTGGTTGTGAGTTCAATCCCCGGTACCAGTAAAAATACAAAAAAAAAAAAAAAAAAAAAAAAAAGAACTAGCCACTGATAATTGGGACCAGAGATTAACCAAAGATTCTGGGACTTCGGGCTGGGGATTTAGCTCAGTGGCATAAGCACCTGCCTTGCAAGCAGGCAGTTGTGAGTTCGATCCCTGGTACTGATAAAAATGAGAAAGAAAAAAAAAAAGTACAAAGATTCTGGGACTCCTACATTTCATTTGTGTTCTAGGTTTTCCTAAGCCACTAACCAAAATAGCTACCTCTCTCCACATCACCTAAAACTCCAAGAAATCCTAACCACCTCATAGTAGCCCACTCTACACACCTAAGCTAACTCTGCTCTTTGTTCTTTCTGTTAAGAAAAAAGTGATGATACACAGCTCAATATACACAGGAAATGTGTTCTAATTTGCACTTATTTCCAGAGAGTACACTTCAGGAAGAAATGGGATACTCAGAGGTGGCTGAATGAAGTTTTCCACTGGTGGGAATCTCTTCAGTTTACAATGCTCAGACTTAAAAATAGAGGGGGAAAAAAATGAAGTTATATATTTGACAAACATTAAGGGATTAAAACAGTACCTGTAAATAGATTAATAAATGGAACACTACACAACAAAAATGAACAAAACATAATCATACCAAACAACGCAGGCGCATCTCACATGCACAAGCCAAACACAAAAGAATGTATACTGTATGTTTCCACTACTGCAAAATTCAAAACAGGTAACACTGGTCTATGGCATTACAAGTCGAGACTGATTAGCTTTGCAGAAGAGACGCAGGTCATGTTTTTTCATGTTCTGAGTATGGGTTACCCAGGGCATTCATGAAAGTTCATCACTAATGATTTATGCATAGTTTTATATAAATATTAAACAACTGAAAATGTAGGTTTAAAAGGTATCCTCAGGTGAAGTATATGGTATGTCAGTTGTATTTTATAAACTTACTTTGTTTTGTTTTTTTTTCTTCTATGCAGTACTGAGAGTAAATCCAGGGACTCTGTACTGAACTATATCCCTTGCCCTTTTTTACTTTTTTACTTTCAGACAGGGTCTTGTTAAGTCTTAAATTACCCAGGCTGACCTGGAACTTGTAGTCTGCTGCCTCAGCCTCCCAGAGTGCTGGGATTACAGGTTTGTGTCACCACATCCAGTCAATAAACCTGTTTCTTTTTTTAAAATAAATCTGTTTTTATCTTATTTTTTAAAGGGTATCAGTGTCTTAGCACTAGTGATGTAGTTCAGTGATGGAATATTTGCCTACTACTGTATGTGAGAGACCCTGGGTTCAGTCCCTAATAATACAAAAACAATGAAAAACGTATCTACAATCATTAAAATTACCTACTTGGCAGGATATGATGGTACACACTTGTAATCCAAACACTTGGGAGGCTGAGGCAGGAGGATTACCATGGGTTCCTGGGTACATAGTGAGTTCAAGGTCAGCCTGGACTACACAGTAAGACCTTGTCTCAAAAAATTAAAAATAAATAAAATAAAATAACCTACTCATGTTAAGCCTGCCATGGCTGGGTGATATTTGGCATGATCATTACAGTCTGTTAGACGTTTTACAGCTCATAGTCAACCTGTAAGGATTACAGCAGATCAGAACCAGCAAAAAGCAAATGCCCATACCAATAAAATATCTTCCTCCTCAGCACATTATGTCTACATACCTGTCTGATTAAAAATGAAGATTTTTAGCGTTTCCAGTGTTCGATCTGTATGGTTAAATCTAGCCATTGGTTTCGCTCCTTGAAATAACAGAATGTTAGGAACAGCTACAGTACCAAACCTGGTAGAAAGGCTGTAAAGGAAAGAAGTCAGTCAGAAAACCTGAATTAACAACAGGCTTTCTCACATGATTAGCGTATCAGGATGGATAGAAATACACGAGAAGCAATCGGTTTTGTCTGACCTAAGGAGGCTTCTGGTATGTAAACTTCAGCATTAGTTTGTTCCTGACCTCCTCCTCATGGGTCATGGTTGGAAGCCCCTCTCTTCTGCAATCTGAGTTGCTTTCTGTTGGCAGATGGATGGACCCAGGATCCAGTTAGTCCACCATTTAAGTTCTCAACTTTCAGAACAGATCAGACCAGAAAATTCTAATTCATGGAAAAAGCGCACTGTGTCAATTTACTTGACAGAACAAACTTCAAATTCTTTACAATGTCCATCCCTATTCCTCAAAAAAGATAAACATATAATAAGCATTTAGCTTGATAAATTGGTGCAAGTGAATATAGGACCTAAAAAACATACCACTAAGTGCATAATTAGGGTAGGAAGACCTGAACATAATCTGGCCAGTGGAGACTTTTTCCCCTTTACGTAATATAGCCCATGCCAAGTTCTAATCACAGTACCAGCTGCAGCCTTTGGGCAGGTTATTTTACCAATGTAAGCCTCAGTTTTTCCCACAGTAAAATAGTAATACTGGATAATCAGGAGCTTTTTCTTTTGTAAACATGCTGTACCTTCAGGATTAACATATTAGCCAAACACACGTCCCAACCTGTGTAATAAGAACAAGTGTCCTAGTCTCTCTGAAAGTAAGGCACCATAGCAGGCTCTCCACCGAAGTAAAGACAAAACAAAGCCCGTGGTGAAAGCCTGTGGCTGGGGAGGAACCCGACTGCCAGACCTGAAATCAAAGATCAACTATGCATGGGGGCGGCGGGGCCCTGACAAAGGTGGACAGTGACCTGCAGGCCACTTAGGTATTTCCCTGAAACCCACATGAGAATTACTAACTTGGGGGCAGTTTCTTTCTTGGTAACAGTTTCAGGTGAGCGCTGGTTGTTATACTCCCACACTGAAAAAAATCAGCAGAGTGCAAATTCACAGTTTACTCAGCTTCAGTTTCCTACCAACTTGCCATCTTGCCAGCATTCTAGATTGGCTCACAGCTTCTTGTAAACTGCTGAGGAACATTTCTGGAGAGCCGGGAACACAGTTTGCAGGCATGGTCGTAGCACTTAGTGAGGGTACAGAATTAAGGGGCTTCCAGAAAGTGACATCGGCTCCCTCAGAAGCTTGACAGTAACCACCGTTCACTCCTGCCTTTCCCTGCCTTCCACCCACTGCAGAGCCCCTGCCCGCCTCTGCTTCTCACCAAACCCATTATGACTTCCACATAACTACAACCATCAGCCGAAAAGATGAGACATCGCTACCCCACCAAGATACCTGCTGTGCTGAGATGCATCCAGAGCCAAAAAATGAAGAGTTGGAAATGCCCGGGGCAGCGAGTTAAAATGAGGGGCCAAACTAGCAGAAAATCGGCACCAGGGCGTGTAGAACAGGACCAGGGTGCAGTCACTACCATTGGGGTTTAGAAAATCCATAAGGTCCTGTGGCAAAAGAAATGAGTGTTGAAGTCTGAAGCTCATTTCATGAAGAAATGAACACTCACACTATTGAGTGTTGAAGACATATATATGTTTCTGGCAGGCTACCCAAGGAAAAGAAACCCTGCTGCACCAGGGAGAGAAACAAACTGCAGGAGGCAGGAAGGGGCCCTTTCAGATGGTTTTTTTAAGACAACGTCTTGCTATGTCAGCCTTGTTGTATGCTTGCTATGTAGCCGAGGCTGGCCTTAAACTCACAGTGATCCTTCTGCCTCAGCCTACTTGAATGCTGGGCTTACACCCCACCCAGCAAGACCTTTTCAAATTTTGACCACATGGATACATAAATCAGCAGAAAAGGACTACCAAATGACAAGGTATAAATTCTATGCCAGTGCTGGTGAACCTTTCAGAGCTTTCAAAGATAAATAGCCAGCTACAACATGTTTGCCACTGTGGTGGCTTTCCTAATTCTACAGAGCTATTTTAGTATGTTTCACAGTTCATCAATTCAAATACTAAGTACCCACATGGTATAGGCCACCGTACCTCTGAGTTGTACATCTCAAAATCTTAACTATGCCCCAAAGAGTCATGTATTAGAGATTTGATTTTTAGGCTATGGCACTATGGGAGGTGGTGGAGCCTTCAGGGGATGAGGCTTAGTAGTAGGACCTGGGTCACCAGGGTGTGACCTTTCAGAGGATTGGGGGACCCTAGCCTCTTGGGGGTCTCATTGCTTCCTGGCCCCCATGAGGTTGGGTCTTCCTCTGGCATTCATTCGCACCATGATGTGCCTTACCACAGACTCAAAAGTAACAGGGCCAACCAGAAGTAGATTAAAACCTCCAAAACTGGGACCCAAAATAAATGTTTCTCTTTTTTAAGTTGATTATCTCAAGTATTTTGTTACAGTGATAGCTGACATTGAGCAATCTCAAATGGCATTCAGAGCACTGGGATCTCAGACCCAAGTTAGTGCCTCAGCTACCAAACGGCTGGGTTGGTGTATGTGATCCAGCACTGTGGTGGCACACACCTAGAATCCCGGTTCTCTATAATCCCAGCAGTCTGTAGCTGAGGCAGGAGGATTGCTGCAAGTTTGAGGTCAACCTGAGTTACACAGTGAGTTTAAGGCTAGCATGAAATACACAGCAAGACCCTGTCTCAAAGGAAAAAAAAAAAAAAATATATATATATATATATATATATACACATATATATACATACATATATATACACATATATATATATGATCTCCAAAGGTTGCTACCAGTTATGTAACAGGCACACAGGTGGGGAGGTGAGCCAGGTTGATCCCTGTCCCTGGAGAAGCCATGTACACGGCACTGGGGCTCACAGCTCACACGCACCATAAGCAATCACAGCTGTCAGACCTGCATTCTACTTCTCTCAACAGCTAACTTCATCCTGTTCTTTTGGACTTTTAAACCTTCTACAGAAGTCATCAGTCATTATTCCAGAATTCCCTTGGATCATTTATCTAACTATCTGGAAAAGTATGGCTGGGTGTGGAACATGGTTTCAGCCCTCAGTCCAGAATAAACACTAGACACACATCTTCAGTGGGAAGAGAAATTTTCCAATAATATAACATATTCTCCACAAATTACTAAATGACAATTTTACCAGTTCTGGTTCTATTCAGTTCAGTTCTGTTCTGAGATAGGGTCTTGCTTTGTTGACCAAACTGGTCTTGAAATCCTAGGTTCAAGCAATCCTCCTGCCTCAGTTCAGAGTAGCTGAGATTACAGGTACAAACCCCTGCATCCAGCTATAATTTAGGATATTTTTTTTCCAGAATTGGGGATTGAACCCGACCTTCACACTAAACTATCTTCCTGGTCCTTTTCTAATGGTGGGGTGGTGTTTTGTTTTTGTTTTTTGAGACAGGCCTCTGCCAATGTCTGTAGTCTGGGATAGCCTTGAACTCACCATGAGCCCAGGCCGGCCTTCAACTCATGGTGATCCTCCTGCCTCAGCTTCCCGAGTGCTAGGATTACAGGCATATGCCACCATGCCCAAATCAATTTAGATATTTTTATATTGACTTTGTAATGAGTACTTCCTTTGAAAGAAGCAGCCAGGCATGGAAGTTGAGATGGATCACCAGTTCAAGCCCAGCCTGGGCAGCTTGGTGACTTGATAAGACTTGTCTCAAAATTTAAAGAGCTGGGGATATAGCTCAGTGTGAAGGCCCTGGGTTAGATCCCTAGTGAAGACAGATGAGGAGGTGGAGGAAGAAGATGAAGAGGAAAATGAATTGTTCTGGTTCCCTGTTCTGTCCCCCGCGATTTTTATCATGAGGCTTGGTGGTAACATTATCCAAGAATGACTAGCTCCTGGCCACCTGCAAAGTGTGACTGCCACTAGTTAACATTTCCTTCTTTTCCTACAAACATCACTGAGGGCAAAGCCATTTTTCATTTAAGCAGCTATCCAGGGCTCTCCCCGCTTAGAATACAGTAAGGATGACCTTCCATTTGCAAGCTGATGAGAGTATGAAATCATAGGATTAATATGCTGAAAAGGAGAAAAGCACTGGATCATTCTTTCTTACCTGGGACATATTTAAAATTTTCAGAGTGAAGTTTTCCAGTCCCGTCACATTCCTCTCCTCACAATTCACTTTTGGGGATTTCAGACTCTCAGTGTTGTTGGAGTCCTCCGCCGGGGCTGGCTCTGCCTCGGCGGCTTCTGGCTCGGGGTAGTATTCCTCCTCCCTCTCTGGAAAGGTCGGGTCTGTGCTGTCCCGGGAGAGGAGGCTGTGGCGGACACTGCAGCCCGAGTCCTCCTCTTCTCCAGCAGCACATGTGCCGCCGCTGGCCTCTGAGCTCCGTTTGTCCTCGGCTTCTCCAGGAATCACAGACAGCACCGCCATGGATTCCTCGGGGGTGACCAGCCCCAGCACAGCATCATCAGTGTCGGTTGCCTTCTCCTGGCGGCTGCTGGGGTCCTGCGGGGTTGCCTCCTTATCCAGGTACTGAGTCTCCTCCTGGAGAGGTGGGGCAGGTTGCTCTGACCATAAGTGACCACTTTGCTCTGCAACTGAAACATTCCAGCGTAATCAGTCATATATGACTTGAAAGTATATGAACACCAGAGTCAGAGTTCTTAAAGATGACCTTGGCCAGTGGGCTCACACTGTAATCCAGCTGGGCCCACACCTATAATCCAGCTGGGCACACACCTGTAATCTTGCTGGACACACACCTGTAATCCAGCTGGGCCCACATCTGTAATCCAGCTGGGCTCACACCTGTAATCTTGCTGGGCATACACCTGTAATCCAGCTGGGCCCACACCTGTAATCCAGCTGGGCCCACATCTGTAATCCATCTGGGCCCACACCTGTAATCCAGCTGGGCTCACACCTGTAATCTTGCTGGGCATACACCTGTAATCCAGCTGGTCCCACACCTGTAATCCAGCTGGGCACACACCTGTGATCCTGCTGGGCACACACTTGTAATCCTGCTGGGCACACACCTGTAACCCAGCTGGGCACATGCCTGTAATCCAGCTGGGCACACACCTGTAATCATCTGGGCCCACATCTGTAATCCAGCTGGGCCCTCATCTGTAATCCAGCGGGCACTGTAATCCAGAACTCTGAGAGGCTGAGGCAGGAAAACTAAAAACTGAAGCTCAGTCTGGGCAATTTAAGAGATTTCACCAGACCCTGTCTCAAGATAAAAAAAAAATTTTTTTAAAAAAAGAACTGGTGGGGCTGGGGGTTTAGCTCAGCGGCATAAGCACCTGCCTTGCAAGCAGGCGGTCGTGAGTTCGATCCCCAGTACCAAAAAAGACAAAAAAAAAAAAAAGAACTGGTGAGGTAGCTCAGTGCAAAGGCCTTGAGTTCCATCCCCAGGACTGTCAAAAAGAGAAATTGTCTCTTATGGAGATGTTGCCCTTCCCATAAACTGTCAGAGAGCCACCTACCTTTCCCCAGGTCAAGAAGGTCACAAAGAGATACCAGATTAATGGGTACCAAATAAACAAATGGACAAATACACAGTTTGGCCCAAAGCCCACTGCTTGCCATTCAGTGATGACATCCTTAGGAAAATAAAATGTATAAACACTTCAATATTTTCATTTGTTTGATGAGAACAAGAAAATAAGAACAGTCTTATGCAAATCTACTAAAGCAAAGCATCTTTGTATATAGTATGACAGTATGTCTCTGGAGACAGAGACGAGGATTATGGAGTCCACCTACTACATGACCAAGCAGAGACACAGAGAAGTTCAGAATACTATCTGATAACACACAGCTAGTAAGTAGCAGAGCCAGCTCTAAGGAGGACAGCTTCTAGCTGATACTCCAAAATGAGCCTTCCCTCTCCCACCAGGATTCCTTGGACGACGCTGGGCCGCTATGCCTGGGAGACAATGGTAGAGCCATAATATGAGTAGGCGCCCCAGAAGGGCCCTCTGACAGCTGGACTCTGTCTTCCCACCCCCATCCTTGGACTGCTGCCCTGGTGAGTGCTAAGAAACTGGCCCAGCAGTGCAGGCACAGCAGCAGGAGGAAGGAGAGGATTTTCCTACCACTTTGGAGCCACAAGTTCAGTCCTGGGAAAATGCTCACAAAAGAGGAAAGTCCTAGGAAGTCTTGGATGCCAAGCTGGCAACTGTCATCAACCTCTGCATTGTGACTCCCACACTTCAAGCCTCATCAGCTCAACACCAGCTTCCAGGCCCTGGCAGGCACCGAACAGGGGCACTGATGAGGCTAGCTGCCTCAGGAAAGCGTGCCATGGGGGTGGGGACTCGTCCACTGTGACAAGCTCTGCATGCCAAAGCATGTCACCAGCATGTGAGTGAAAAATATTTATAAAGAAACAGTAGCCAAAGTCTTCCAAGGTTAATGAAAACTATAAATTCACGGATCCAAGAAGCTTAACTACACCGCGGTAATGATAAATCGCTCAAACCGGCTACCAAACCTTACAAGCAGCCAGAAACAAAGATATATTACATACAGAGAAAGATACGCATGGTATCAAAGTCCTTGCTGAAAACAATACAGACAAGAGCAGCATCTTTTTAAAGTAATGAGAGGGAAAAAAAAACCTACATAAATCCAGAATTTTATACCCAGCAAATACGCCTGAAAACAAAGATGGAGCTGGGCACGGAGGTACATTCCCATAATATCAGCACTCGGGGATGTTGAGACGGCAGGGTCACATTTTTTAGGTCAGTGTAGGCAACTTAGTGACTAAGTGAGAACCAGTCTCAAAAAATAAGAAAAGGCAAGGGATATGGTTCAGTGTGATGGTGCTGGGTTTAATCTCCAGAACCCCTACACACACACACTGAAATAAATACTTAAGACATACAAAAGCTCAAAGGATTCACCACCAGAATACCTACATATCAAAAATCTCCCCACCCCCGCCCCTTCTTCTCCCTCTTCTCCTTCGTTTTCTGGTCTTCATCTTCGTCTTCTTCGTTCATGTTAAGCATTCTACCCCTACAGCTGAGCTACAGCCACAGACTGACAAAAATCTTAAAGGTTAACTCCTTCAAGCAGAAGAGAAATGCTATCAGATGGAAACAAGCACCCACAGAAAGGAACAAAGAGTCCCAGAAATGGTAACTACATGGATAAACATACACAGTTCTTCCAGCAGAGTCTGCTGTGATTTACCCTTGCTAATCTACTCAAAGTTCTAGGTCCCATAAATAAATGTATAGAGTTCTTGAGCTGGGGGTGTAGATCAGTGATAGAGCTCTTGCTAGCACATGAGATCCTGGATTTCATTTTTAGGGCCCCTCTCCCTCTCTTTCTCTCTCTGTCTCTGTCTGTCTGTCTCTCTCTCTCTCTCTCTCTCTTGCTGTCTGTCTCATACACACACACACGCAAAGCTAAAACACTAAAAAACTAAAAAATCAGAGCACACAAATATCCATTAACCAATAAATGGATAAAGAGGATGGAGTTCTTTTATACAATGGAGTACTATGCAACCATAAAGAAAGATAATCTTGATTTTTAGGTAAATGTATGCACCTTGAAAACATAGTCTTAAGGTTGGATGTGGTAGTGCATGCCTGTAATCTCAGTACTTGGAAGGCTGAGGCAGGAGGATTGTTGTGAGTTCATGACCAGCCGGGGCTGCATGGTGATCACTGTGTATACCTAAAATGCACCAATAAACTTATTTCTAAAAGTCAGTGCACAGTTTAGAATCTGGTTGCCTTTGATCACCCTCAGAGGTTTCCTAGAGAAAAGCAAAAGGGAGTCTATGCAGTCTACAGAGCTGGTGTTTGAAATTCTGGAGTACCAGTGTTATGACTCCTCTCACTGGTAGATAGTTATGTACACAGTACAGACTGGGAACCAAAACATTCTTATACCTTAGACACCAATGTTTCATTTAGGTATTAAGAAGAAAAGAAACAATGAATTATTCCAAACCAAAATAAAAATGACATACTATGTGAGCCAAGCATGAGGGGAAAATTGTTGCATCACTGGCTGCAAGGAAGTCGTTTGGAAGAACATGGCAAGCAGTCTACCAGGGAGGGGAGTGTAGGTCAGCTGGCACCTGTCCCCTAGTCCAGCCTTTCTCAGAATGTCTTCTTGCGGCTCTAGGTCTTTTTGCAATGGCCTCTGTGGCACGGTAGCCAAACGGTAAGGTCCAAAAACAGAGGTTGAAGGGTTTGCAACCTAAACTTCCAAAAGCTGCCCCATACTCTCTATGCTTATCTGATAAGTGGGATGTGGGGGGACACCAAAATGCAAACAATTCCAGGGTTACTATGAACTGAAGTGAGAAACGATACACCTGGTCTCTAGCACATGGTACGCACTCCATAAACAGCTGTAGTGAGGATGGTGAAAACGGGTATTTACAATTCAAGGAGTTGGAAAGTCACCATAACTAAGTTCTATTAAGTCCCCTGATAAATCCATTCAGAATAATCCATCCACCTCCTCCCGTCTCCAGCCCAGGCCATAGCTGTCTTGCACCTGTATAATTACTCACCTCCCTAAGCAGCTTCCCTGGTCAGCCCTCTACCCGCCTCCAGACCCTGCTCATCACAGCAATCCAAGCAGAACTGAAAATCAAGAGGTAAATCTCATGTCTGTCCTCTGCTAAAACCCTGTCACTGACTTCCCTGACCGTGTGAATGAATCGGCATTTGCAGCATGTGTGCCAGGCGCTGTGATGTGGCCCCCATCTGTCTTCTCTGGTCTCTGATCCCTTGCCCTCCTCCAGGGCCTTCCTGAGGCTTGTTTCTCTGTAGGAAACCCCTCCAACCCCTTTCTTCTCTTGTCTAATCCAATTAATCCTTCAGAGCTCACCTCTGTAAGGACATCTTCCCTGACCCTCAGACAGTGTGGGCAGTCACCAAGGAGCACCCAGTGATGCTCAGGGACTCTCCTTGTATCTTCCACTCTAGTAATTTACTTACTTGTGGCCATTTAATGCCCGCCTTGGCACCAGAAGTGGAACAGGCCTGTCACTTTGTCTGATTCATCACTGTACCCCAGGTGCCCAGCATAGCGTGTGATGGGTGCTTAGTAAGACTCTGGTAGCTGACCGCCTAATGAGGACACACAGGGGTCTTGAAGCCAGTTCGCTACCATTCCTAGGCACCTGGGCAGCACTGCCTCCTCCAGCTGCTAATCTGACAGTAGTAACTTCTGCAGGGGAGAGGAAAAAAAGGCTTTGGATTCTCAGCAATTCTGGGAAGGAACCAGCTGGTGAAGTTTCTTCCATCCGTACACCCAGCATGGTCTGGCAGTGACACAGTCTCCATGTGCAGGATCAGGATGAACAAGACCCTCACTGCAGTGAGGGCTCACAGTGACTGCAAGGGTGTCAGTGTCCCAAGTCAGTCAGGGTGCTGCCAAGAAATACAACATTGCACTTGGACAAGCTGAGCACTTAATAAGGAGCCACCAATGTATGGGCTGTGGTTAGAATAACTAAGAGCAAGAGTGAGAAACTCCAAGCCAAGAACAGCAGAGCAGAGCCAATTACCACTCACCAATCTCTCAGGTCCACAGACAGAAGCAGCCCCAGAATCTCAAAACTCAAGCACAGAGCAGACAGCGGGTTTCTAGCACTGTTCTCTTGGGGGGAGGGGGGCAGTCTATGACAACACCTGAGGGCGGAGCTGAACCCCTTGCTCTTCCCATTATTCCCCACATGCCTCCTCCCTGTGAGTTCAAGGCCAGCCTGAATGACACAGAGAAACCAGGTCTCAAAAGGACAACAAAAAACACTGGAGGGAAGACAACCTCTTCAGCAAATGGTGCCAGGAAACTGGCTACACCTATGTAGATGACTGAACCAGATGCCTATCTCTCACCCAAACTCAATTACAAGACTTCTATGAGGGCGGAATGAGACAAGAAATGCTTAGTCAACATTACAACAGAAACTGTGCTAGAAGATAAAATATGAAAATTCTTTCAAAAGAATATATTTATTGAGAGAAAACTTCTGTCTGAGAGGGAGAAGGGGTCCCAAATGGGTTGCCAGGGGCACTGCCTTTTCCAGGGTTTTTATAGAGCAAAATCCCGAGGTAAGGCAGGTCTACGGTGAGGAAAAAAGGGAACTCACAAGGCAAGTGGGCCCGAGGTGGGACAGAAGTATGGTTAGCCAATAAGACTGCAAGTGTAAGTGCTCAGTAAAGTTGATTAAATCAGGAGAAAATGGGGAAGCAAGTCACATAGCAAGTGGACATGAATACAGAACTTTGCTTGCAGGAGGTTGGATTAGTGGCTCCTTCTGACTTCCTCAAAGTGATCGATACCTAAAATGGGTACAATTCTTGCAGACATAGGTATAAGAGGTTTTTTTGTTTGTTTATTTGCCTTTTGAGACAGGATCTTGCTCTGGTCTTAAATTCACTAGCTAGCCCAGGCTGGCCTCCAACTCTCAGCAATCCTCCTGCTGCGATGAGAGGCATGCGCCACCACATCCAACTGTGTCTTCTGAAGAGAACCCCAGCTGCACAAGAAATGAAACATCAAGAATCAACAAATGGTGGGGCTGGGGATTTAGCTCAGCGGCATAAGCGCCTGCCTTGCAAGCAGGCAGTTGTGAGTTCGATCCCTGGTACCGATAAAAATGAAAAAAGACCAAAAAAAAAAAAAAAAAAAAAAAGAATCAACAAATGGGATTGCAGCAAATTTAAAAGCTTCGGTACAGCAAAGAAAACAGTCGACAGAGTGAAAAACAGCCTTCAGAATGGGAAAAATTTTGCCAGCTGTTCTTTGGGCAGAATATCTAATATTACAAAATATATAGTCATAAAAAATTTAGATATTTCCTCAAAATTAAAGATCAGAAACAGGTCAAGCAAAATGAATAGACACTTCTCAGAAGTACAATTAGCTAATAAATACATGAAGTTCAATGTCACTGACCTTTAGAGAAATGCAAATTAAAACAATGGTGAAATTCCAGAAAGAATGGCTATCATCAAGAAATTAAATAATGGGTGGGCGGGGCATGGTGGCACACACCTATAATCCCAGTACTTGGGAGGCTGAGGCAGAAAGATAACTGTGAGTTTGAAGCCAGCCTCAGCTACATAAGGGAGTTCAAGACCAGCCTAAACTGCATAATGAAACCCTAGCTCAACACACACAAACATACACACACACACACATACACACACACAAAAGAAACAAAGAGAAAGAAAAGAAATCAAATAACCAATGTTACTATCCCTGTGGGGAAAAGCATTGCTGGTGGGAATATAAACTAATACACACACTATGGAAATCAGTATAGAGATTCCTCAAAAACTAAAATTCCATTCCACTCAGTTATTCTCCTTCTAGGTATCTTCCCAAAAGAGTTCAAGACATCACATTATAGCGATATGTGCATACCAATGTTTATAGCAGCACAACTCACAAAAGCTAAATCTTAAAAGCAGCCTATGTATCCATCAACAGATGAATGGATAAAGAAAATGTGGTATTTACATACAGTGGCATACTACTCTGCCGAAAAAAATGATAAAATTGAATCAGCTGTAGGAAATGGAGGTACCTTGAGACCAAAATTAAGTGAAATAAACCAGATAAATGAGCTTAAATACTCCTTGGTTTCTTTTCTATGAGAAACCCAAAATATAAATAAAGAGCAAAATAAAAGATAGAAAATTAAAAATAGGGAAGTGGATCTGTTTGCAAATGGGAACTGGACCAAAAGATTTGGGGGGGGGGGTAAATAAGAAAAAAGAAATTAAGATGTGTTACATACATGCACCCCACTCCCCATAGTGAATGTAATCATTATTACTTCAAACATGTAGTAATAAATCATTGTACTGAAAACATGTAGTAATAAAAATCTATAAATTTGGGGCTGGGGATTTAGCTCAGTGGCATAAAAACTTGCCTTGCAAGCAGGCAGTCGTGAGTTCTATCCCCGGTACCAATAAAAAAAAAAAATCAATTTAAATTTAAAAAAAAACAGCGAAGGGGCCGGGGATTTAGCTCAGCAGCATAAGTGTCTGCCTGGCAAGTACAAGGTCATGAGTTCAATCCCCAGTACTAGCAGAAAAAAAAAAAAAGCAGCGAAGATGAGTGTGATGGTGCATGCCTGTAATCCAGCACTCAAGAGACTGCAGCAGGATTGCTGTGAGTTCAAGGCCAGCCTGAGCTACATAATGAGACTCTGTCTCAAAAAAAGATCCCCTAATTTTTTTTTTATTTGAAAAAAAAAAAGTAGTGAAAATACAGAGTCCTGGCTATCAGGTCAGACAGACTCAGTCAGATTTGTATCATGGATCCTAAACTTCTGGCTGTACGGTCTTAGCAAAGAACTTACTGGTTCTGAGTCTCAGTTTACTTATCTATAAAACGGGAATAATATTTAACACATAGCACTTAAAGAATAAGAGGATTGGGCTAGGGATTTAGCTCAGCAGCATAAGCACCTGCCTTGCAAGCAGGCAGTCGTAAATTCGATCCCTGATAACGATTAAAAAAAAAAAAAAAGAGGATGCTCAGAGAATAGCACTGAGAATGGTGCACAAAGGATGCTTTAATAGTAATTGTGTCACTATCACGCCCTCTTCTCCCAGCTCCTGGACAGTCTACTGCCCGACTTCCTTCCAGGGTCATCTCAGGGAAAGCAAAGACTTGTCTATTTCTGCTAAGACGTGAATGACAGGCAAGGCCAAAGGACCTGGACCGAACAGGACAGTGCGGAGTAGGATGAAGTAACAATGGCACCCAGTTTCTGCTGCCCATCTCAGCCATGCCTCCAGCAGGGCAGCACTCCCCACAGCAGACCCTGGGAACCCTGCCGGTTATGCAGACACCTGGGTGAGACTGGTCTCCAACACAAAGTGGTCCAGCAGGTCTCCAGCGTGGCTCTGAAGTCAGGAGCGTTAGGCGCTGCCATTTACCTGAAGTGCAGACCTGGCCAGACTGCTTAGCCTCTGTGCACACTAATGGCACCTGTCTCACAAGGTTGGTGGAAGGGCTAAAGGAGAGAAAGGTGGAAAGTACTGGGCACAGCTCGGGGACTCCAGGAAGGCCACAAAACATACGGGCTCTTCCTGATGATGATGATGGTTAATAATCGGCGCTCACCACAGGCGCTCACGCATGCCTCCCTTAACGCCAAGAATCCACAGTCCTGGGGGAGGTCAGGCTCCAGCTGGAGGGAACTGAAAGGGGCGAGGTCACAGCCAGCGCCGTCCGCCCCGCAGTCCCGCTGCCGCCGGCCACGGGCGGGCAAGAGGTCCGAGAAAGTCTGGGAGGACGCTGGCCAGTGGGGGGGCGCGCAGCGCGGCCTTCGCGCAGGTAAAGCGCCGTGCCCGCCTGCCCCTCGCGCGACCACTTCATACACTGTCGCCCGCCACCCGCCCCGGCCCCGGCCCCGGCCCGCACTCACCCTCTAGGCCGCGGGCGGGAAGCCCGAGCACCCACAGCAGCAGCTGCCACCTGCAGAGGAGCCGCATGGCGGGGGTGGGGGGCGAGGAACGGGGGGCGATCAAGACCACCACCCCGCAGGCGAACACCCGCGTTCGGGTTAGGCGAAAAGAGTCGCGCTCAAAGCCCGGAGAAAATTGGGGGAGGAGACGCGAGGGCGCAGGCGCGGCCCCACGCCGCCATCTTGGCACCTGGCGGCCACCGCGGACGCCATGTTGGAACCTGGCAGTTGGCTTCTGGCCAGCGGCCTGAAACTGGGGCTGAAGACGTTTAAGGAGTCAAACTCCAGACGTCGCAGCTGCTCTCATTTCTGCTGACTCCTGAGTGCAGCTCCAGCAGTCGTCTTTTTACTCCCGGGGAAGCCAGCACCGGATCGCTTGCAGCATACACTGCACCAGTCCGGGTTCATTTTCCACTTTGTTCATTTCTAAAGACAGGTCCGGAAGCTGCCCACTGATGCCGCACGCAGACAAACTTTTGGAAGCTGCAGATCTTTGTGTCTACTGCGTTACCTAGGGTTGGCAGGTAGAATACAAAATAAACGTAGTTAAACCTGAATTTCACGTAAATGAATTTTTTTAAATATAGGGAACATATATATGACTCCCCCCCCCCATATTTGGCAAACTTAACCCTGTCCGCTCAGGGTGGGGTTTTTGTTGGTTGGCTGGTTTAACAATGCTGAGTTACAGAAAATAATACCCTCATGGCACTTTGGCATGCTGAATACTGTACTTTGAGCCAAAGAGCACTAGAAGACTTCAGAAGCAACCTTAGAACCTCCTACCCTTCCTGCTCTTGTCACCCCCCAAGCAAGCCATAAACACTAGAATTTTTTTTTTTTTTTTTTTTTTTTTTTTTTTTTTTTTGTCTTTTTTGAGACGGGGTCTCGCTATGCAATTCAGGCTGGCCTGCCTCAGCCTCCCGAGTGCTGGGATTACAGGCCTGAGCCACCACACCTGGCTAACACTAGAATTTTCTTCCTTAAAATAAGTCGCAGAAACTAGACCTGTTCCCCAAAAACAGCCATAAAAACTAGAACTATCACACCAATCTTCAGCTGGCCATATTCTCCGACCTACCTTTGTCCACTAGTAGGTCATAGGACCCTCATTCAAAAAAACGAAAAAAAACCTTTCATTCACACTTTCATTCCAGAGGCAGCCTGTCCATAACTAGATGAAAAAATATGAAAAACAGTAATTTCTCCCACTTTATTCTATTAGATCATACTTTTTGTCCAATCTTCATCAAATCTGAACACAAAAATAGTCATTTCCCTATGTCTTTAGATCTTCATTCCAAAAACTATCATATAAACTATGATTAAAGCCAGGTGTGGTGGCTCACACCAGTAATCCCAACACGCAGGAGGCTGAAGTTGGAGGATCCTTGTGAGTTCAAAACCAGCCTGGGCTACAAATGACCTCAAGATCAGCCTGAACTGCACAGTGAAACCTTGTCTCAAAAAGACAAAAAACAAACAAAAACTATGATGAAATAATTTTGTTATGCTTTTTTCATGTTAATCTGCCTTTTGTTACACAGTGTTGGCATGACCTTTACTTAGTTTTTGGACTTTACTTAGTTTTTGGACATAGTCTTGCTGTGTGGTTCAGCCTGGCACTGAACTCACTATGTAGCCCAGGCCAGCCTCTAACTCTAGTCAATCTTCCTGTCTCAGCCTCCTAAATTCTGGGATTGTAGGCAGATGGCACCACACCTATCTATGCAAGCAAACTTAGAGTTTACCCCTATACAAACTCAAAGCCATCTCTTCCCGCCTAAACCATCTACCTACCGTGAGACCCATGAATGTATGCTCTGGGTTGATGGAGGTGGTGCCATCTCACACACAAAGCTAAAAAAGAGTTTAGAATGCATGGATGGGGAGATGAGGAAGCCAAGTGAAGAGCAGTTTATTTTATCCTTGATAAAATGTTTTGCCTAGATTTTGTAATCTGATGGCTCAAGACATATTCCCTTTCCTCTCTGCCTCTCTCTCTCCACCAAAGGGCACAGGGACAAGAAGTATTTCCTTTGCTTTAGGTCACTATACAAATATTCCTCAAAGATAGTTTCAACAGAAAGACAAAAAACAAACAAAAAAAAACCTCTATGGCATGGGGATTTAGCTCAGCAGCTTAAGCCTACCCAGCAAGTGCAAGGTTGATTCTCAGTACAAAAAAAAAAAAAAAAAAAAAAACAACTAAAAAGGGCCAGGTGTGGTAGTGCACACCTGTAATGTCAGCATCTGGGAGGCTGAGGCAGATTTGCTGGGAGTTCAAGGCCAGCCTGGGCTAACAAAGAGAATTCCAGGCCTGCATATAATTTTGCCACTGCCCCATTAAGTAGAATCTAATCCCTCTCTTCCCCTTGAATCTGGGTGAACCTGTAATTCACTCATAATCCACATAATGTATCAGAAATGATCCTGTGTGTCTTCAGAGACTACAAGGTTTCATCTACTTTTGCTGGAAGATTTACACTGCAGCCCTCCACCACAAGGTATGCAGCTGAACAGTTCTGAGGCTATATGCTATGAGGACACTCAAAGTACATTGTCTAGAGAACCCCTAACAGCACCTAAAGAGAGATGCCTGCCATTCTCAGCTGATCCAGCCCCTCTTCCAGCCTTATCCACCATCAGACCACAAATGCCTGCGAAACCCTAGCTAGAAATAACCAGCTAAGTTGTTACAGTTCAGGTCCAAATGTACACCAGGTCTCCTGTAATTGGAAGGTGACTGGCTCACGGGGGTGAGCGACCATGCAAATGAGTTCACAGCTAACTGTGTTGTTGGGAAGGGGGATCTAGTCGGGGGCAGAGGGTAACTCAGGGCAGGACCTGAAAGGGTGTGCTGCTGTGCCTGGCTTCCCGCCTCCCTCTCCCTCTGCTTCCCGGCTGCCATGGCTGAGCAGCTTTCCTCAGCTATGCTGCTCTACCATGCTGTCTGCCCTCTAGTACTCCGAAAAACATGAGCCAAAATAAACCTCTAAACTGCCAGTTGGGAGTGTTTTGTCCAGTGAGAGGAAAGCTGAAAAATGCACAAGCTCTGCCCAAATTCCTGATGCACGGAAAATTTTTTTTGTTTTTGTTTTTTTATCGGTATCGCGCGCCTGCTTGCAAGGCAGGTGCTTATGCCACTGAGCTAAATCCCCAGAAAAAAAAAAATTTTTTTTAATTGGGTTAGGGATGTGGTTAGAGCTGACCTAACATCTTTGAGACCCTGGGTCTACCCACTCCCCTTTTTAAATCACTAAGTTTTTGTTGTTTTGTTTTAGAGACTAGATAACTGGTCTATTTTATTTTGCATTTGCAATAATATATCTTTAATCTGAATTTAATAAATCAGTACTTTGGCATATATTCATATTTATTTTTCCAGTGCTACTATTTTAATGTTGTGATTTGTTGGAATTAAGTTAACCTAATCCATTCATCATTTTGTCAAAACTGAATATTCCTTACAGTTACAATAAGATTAAAATGAGCTCCTTCAATTATTTATTAACATCCCAAGATGTTTAGAGACTTGTGTCCCAAAGGCACAGGGTAAATTAGAACAATGGATAGTCCTTTTTTTGTTGTTTATTTTATATTACTGGGGATCAAACCCAACCCATGCCCCAGGATGCTCCTCCCCCCCTTAGAGACATGGCCTCGCTGAGCTACCCAGGGGGGATCTAGAATTTGCTCTGCTCTTTCCTTAGCTCTCAGTGCAGAGACTAGAGGTACACCACCAAGCCCAGCTTAGGCTGTCTTCAAAGCTCTTTACAGCTGAACATGGTAGCACATGGCCCAAACCCAGGGTTGCCGAAGAAGGAACATTACAAGTTTGAGTCCCTGACCTGGGCAATTAAGCAAGACCCTGCCTCAAAAAAAGAAAAAAGAAAAATGAGAAGGAAAAAAAAAAATTAAATGCTGGAATGTAGTTCAATGTGAAGGCCCTGGGTTCGATCCTTGGCACATCAGAACAAAACAAAACCTCTTTTTAAACATCAGTTTTTGGGGCTGGAGGTTTATCTCAGCAGCGTAAGTGCCTGCCTTGTAAGCAGGCAGTCCTGAGTTCGATCCCTGGTACCGATAAAAACGAAAAAGACCAAAAAAAAAAAAAAAAAAAAAGAGGAAAACATCAGTTTTCTCAGATTTTTGAAAAACTGCATCTAAAGTATTACTCCTACTCAATATTATGCTTTACAGAAAGTGTGGTGATTAATACCTAATCCCAATTTCCTGAAAAATTAAGGCAGGAAAATCACAATTTCAAGATCAGTCTGAAAAATTTAAAAAGGGCTGAGGATATAGTTCAGTGGTAAAGTGCCTAACATGACCCAGACCCTGGGTCACAAAAAATACTGAAAACTGAACTTTCCTCTTGGATACAGAAGATGATACATGGTATAATCACAAGCAAAAACTTCAGCAGAAAGAAATAGCCCAGCATTTCACATCAAGGTGCTATACCTTTGGCATGTATGTTTCTGTTAGATGCTTTTATCCCAAAGATACAATTCCTATTTGAGCCCTTAGAAAACTTTGTGTTCAGTGTCACATGGTCTCTGACACAGCTAAGACAAGAACAGCACTCTGAAGTCAAGACTTTTATATCATGACATAGTCACTCACTCATTTAAATGCTGTGCTACAGTTTAGGACTGAAGTGTTCCCCAAGGCCTACAGATGGAATAAAGGCCGGGTCCCCAGCTCAGCACTCTTGGGAGGGGGTGGGCTCAGTGAGACTTAGGGCCCCCTGGCAGGTCTCCGGGTGGCTGGGCATAGACTCTCAGGGGAACTGTGGAACTTTGTTTTCCCATTGCCTGGACAAGAAGACTGCTTTGCCAGGTGCTCTCTGCCCTGATGCACCCACCGCCTCACCTCAGGCCCAAAAGCAACAGGGTCAACTGATCATGCTAGAGCCTCCAAAACTGTAAGCTAAAATAAACCTTTACGCATAAGTGCAAATAATATGTAAAGCGTCTGTCATAGTAACAGAAGCCAGTCAGCACATGCTGCCTCCATTAATTCTTGTGTAACATCATGGATAGTTATGTAGTAGCAAATGCTTATAGTCCCAGCTACGTGGGAAGCTGAGGCAGGAAGACTGCTTGATCCTGGGAGTCAGGGGCCAGCCTGGGCAACAAACACAGTGAGACTCTGTCTCTAAATAAATGAACAAACTGGTTTTATTTAAATGTGAATGAGACAGATCCTATAAGCGGAGGTGTAAGATTACAGGAGAGATGATAATCTAAGAAGGAAGATAAGCTTCCAGTGAAGGATAAAGATGAGGCAGTAAGGGAAATACTTGCCCCTCTGTAACGGGAGGAATGGGGGTGTGTGCAGATAAGCTATTTTCTGTGTTGATAAGAAGGCCATCTGCTACAAGTGAGTAATGTCTACCTAGTGGGGAAAGCAGACAACTG